GCGGCAGACACAGTAACTCGCTGGACCGATCTCCTGCCACTGGTTTTGCTGGACGTGTGTTTAGCTATAAAAGAGGACCTGGGTTGCACGTGTGCGAAGCTCATTTATGGTAACATGCTCCGGCTCCCAGGGAGTTCCTCAGTCACCAACCCTGCAAGGTACCGCTGTGTGTGTGTGTGTGTGTGTGTGTGTGTGTGTGTGTGTGTGTGTGTGTGTGTGTGTTGTGTGTGTGTGTGTGGTGTGTGTGTGTGTGTGTCTGTGTGGTGCTCTGCTGTGTGTGTGTGTGTGTGTGTGTCCCTGTCTCTGTGTGCGTATTTCTGTATCTTTTGGGGGGTGTATCTCTATGTCTCTCTGTGTCTGTGCCTGTATCTGTCTCTGAACCGACGTCCATTCACCGTTCACGACGATTCCGTCACTACATGTCATTCATCCGTCGTCAGCAAAGATACCATCACCATCTGACGTTCATTTGTCATCAGCGACCATTCCTTCACTACATGTCGTTCATCCGTCGTCAGCGAAGATACCGTCACCATCTGACGTTCACCTGTCATCAGCGACCATTCCACCGTTTCACGGCGATTCCGTTCACTACATGTCGTTCATGCCGTCGTCAGCGAAGATACCGTCACCATCTGACGTTCATCTGTCATCAGCGACCATTCCTTCAACCAGTGAAGCCTCACTGTCGTTAACAACGATCCCCTCACCCAACTGACGTCCCATTCGTAGTCAGCGACGATCCTGTGTTCCAGCAAGCCTATTCATCGTCCAATGACGATCTTTTAACCAAGCAACCGCTAGTTGCCCGTCAGCGACGATCTTATAACCAAGTGAAGCCCTCATCGTCCTAGACGTGGTACTGTCACCAAGTGACGTCTCAATGTCGTTCACGACGATCCCGTCACCAAGTGACGCCTGTGTGTCTGTCTGTGTCTGTGCCTGTGTCTGTGTCTGTGTCTGTGTCTGTATCTGTGTCTGTGTCTGTGCCCGTTGTTTGTGCCTGTGTCTGTGTCTTGTCTGCGTGTTTGAAAGACACGAAGCAATGCAGAAAGCGACAGTAGCAGCCACCCAAGAAGTTAGCCAGAAGTACCGGCATAAACCCTTTATGCCACATGTACACAGTCCAGACAGACAATCATGCATAAAAACTAGTTAGTACTCCTTTTCCAAGCCCAAGAAGATGCCGAGGGTGTGTTGTCTGCGATTGAAGGCTCTACCAATATCTACGTCTTAAAGTATCGGGTGATAAATAAGGCTTCCGTCTTGGAGCGAACCGCTCTGTTCATTCTCTAGCAGATCAAGCAGCTCCAGGAACCACACACGTCTGTTGCTGGCCATTTTTTTGAAAAGCTTGCACAGAAACAATTTCAGTGAGATAGAATGGTAATCAGATGGACAATTGCCACATTTTCAAGCCTCAAAAGAGGGATAGAGGTTGATTCCTGCCATTGGCCTGGGAAATTGTGACTGGTTCATATATAGTTCAGCAGTGCAAGGACCCGACCTCATTTCAAAGCTCATGAATAGGTAGAGCGCCATCCGCTTAGTTCAATTTGGCGTGTCAAAAAATTGATATTATAAACCAAACATCCTGGGTTTGAAAAACTGAGCAGAATACGGAAATCTCAAGATACTCAAACTTGTTGAGCAATAACTTGGGCTGGCAAACGTAATATGATCACATAACACCTAGCGAAGTTAAGGTAGGAACATTCCGCGGCCCATGCAAATCTCCTAGCATTGCAACTATGGTCTGGCATTGCCGATCTACCGATCAGCTGAGTTTAGTTAAAGTTACAGTGCAGTTTAGAGTACTGCTGGACATGTTGCTGAGAAAACACACATTGGGTTATTACGTTCATGCAGGCATTCCGGAGGGTTGCAATTGGACCCTCTTCGGAAGAGAAACGTGCCGAAATAATCTGGAGAGCATGCCGCAACTTCCAACTGTTCAACCCAAAAGCCGATGATTTATTTTC